GAGCTCTCTCTGAAACGGGGCAGAAGCTCGCTTAGCTCAGGGCAAGCCCAGCCAGGGTTCCCGTTGTCTGTTGCTGTTTAACAAGATACCCCAAAACGTAGAGGCTTAACACCACACCCACCGAGTTTTTGGTCATGGGTCTGCCGTGGGGGGATGGCTGGGCTCTGCACTCTTGGCCTCCTCTGGGCAGGGTGCCCCAGGATGGCGCCCTGGCTGCGCAAGTTCTCTCTCCACATGGCTCCTCCACCTGACTGGTTTGGTCCTTCAGAGCATGAGTCTCAAGGTGCTCACATTTCTTACATGTGTCTGGCTTCCCCAACAACACAAAAGCAGAAGCTGCCAGGCCTTCTTGACACGTGGGTTCAGAAAGCACAGAAGGTCACCTGCACATTATTCTCTTGATCACAACAGTCCCAGGGCTAGCCCACATGCAAGAACAGACTCCACCTCTTGCTGAGGGAGTGACGAGGTCACGTGCTGACCAGCACGTAGGATGGGAGATGCTGTCGTGGCTGTTGACAACAGTCTGTCACATCAAGCATGTGTGGGAAGAAGGAGGGAATTAGTGCCCCCTGGGGCCAACCCTGAGCAATGAGGGCAGGAACTGGTGGGTACGTGCAGGTCCCCTGCCCTTCAGAGGAAAAATTCTGACCTATATATCGGACAGGTTCTTTAGGGGATTCCCAGCAGGACAGAGGCCCAGATGCCCACAGTGGACGAGCTCAACAATGTCCCCTGAAGTGCTTGTCACTATTTCCCCATTTATATTTCCCTCTCCCCTCTGCTACTTCCTCCAAACAGCCCCCAGTTCTGGTCTTTGTCCTTCCTCTCCTGAGAAACCAAACCAAGACACCCAGTCTCTTTGTTTGAAAAAAACCCCTTAATGGGGGTTATAAAATATTGCACCCAAGCCTCTTGAGTAATCCTGAGGGAGTGGCTGTGAAAGGGCTTCGTAAACTAGCCACTGGGAGCTGAGGTGAGTGGTCACTTCGAGCACAGGTACTTGGGAGGGAAGCACGGGGACTGGGGACCACTGGGGTGGGAGATCCCCCCCCCCCAGGTCATCAGGGAGTGGTAACTGGGCTGCCTAGGAGAGGGCGAGAGGTGAGGGCAGAATGGTGTGAGGCAATACCAAAGGGGGTGTGGACAGAGGTGTTTTCTGGCGTGTGGAGAAATAAGGTGTGCTGTGTCCCTGTCCTGCCCGCCACATTTGAGTGACTTAACAAATTTAGGTGACTCATCAGGCCACCACAGCCTGGGACAAGGTCCCTTAAGATCATCCACCTAGCTTTGCTGAGGCTTGCTCTTGTGAGCCAAACCTTGTCTCTGGATTTGGCCTCTGCCCTGGGAAGAGAGGAACTGAGTTACCAATAAGAGAGTCCAGGACTCGGGTTCATTCACCCTCCATTCGGTAAACACTGAACAGCTGAGCTCTCCTCCATGCTAGGCCCAGAGGTAGGGATCCAGAGGTGAGCCAGCCACAACCTCTTCCCTCCGAGCTCCCAGGTGGGGGCGTAGTGTGAGACCAGCAGACGGGCAGCCAGAAATGGCACGGAAGCAGCGGGCTTGCTGGGGAAGATGCTCTGGGCACAGAGGAGGGACAACTGATGTGAAATCCGGAGTGGGGGTGGGGCAGATAATTGTGGGACTCTTCCCAGAGAAGCTTATGTTCACCTTGAATTCCAACAGGCCTTAGAACTTAGCCAGGAGACTGGCAGGGCATATGCCTGGCAGAGTAAACTGCATGGCCTTGGGGAGGCCTGGCTCATTTGAGAAACTTAACTGTGGGCAGAAAAATGTGGAGGAGGGTAGAAGATGAGGCTGGAGAAAGAAGTGGGTTGAGAAGAGCAATGGAAGCCCCTAAGGACTCTGAAGCAGGGGATAAAGGGATCAGATCTGAATTTAGGATACACACCACTGGTTACAGTGTTGGCCAGGTGTAAGGGCGACCACCTAATAAGGCTCATTCATTCATTCAACAAACGCTTGGAGCCCCCTCTAGGTGCCAGGCCCTGTGTCGCTGTGGGAATCCAGGAGAGGGGCTGGAGTGACCTGGATGGTGGCCAGGATGGTGGCCAGGATGGAGAGAAGGGGCAGAGATTTGGGGAGGCACTCTCGCTGTTGCGCAAACACATCCTGGCAATACACAAACTGGCATCTGGACCAGTTGTGCATGAGTTTGGAAATTGGGGACCTGTTATTTCAAGGGTGGAGAGCTTAATTGGCAGGGCTGAACTATTTCAGGAGACCCCACCCACAGCAGCAAAACTCTGCCTACCTCATCCTTCCCCCTCAGTCTGTCCCGGGCTCTGGGAAGCTCCCATGCAGTGGTGCCAAGGATAATCCACACTGGTCCGTTCCAGTAGGGGGGGTTGAAACCCAGACACCCCAGTTTCTTTCTGTCAGTCCTGGCAGGGAGCTGACTCCGCCAGGATCGAAATGAAATGGAGGGCAGAGGCCCAGCTGGGACACCGAGTTCGTGCTTGTTTATTTATTTCTGTGCTCTGCCCCCCTTCAGACTGCAGACTCTGGGGGTAAGAACTGTCTCCTCCACCAGACTGTGGGCTTTCTGAGCCTGTCTCCCCCATCAGATTAGGAACTTCTGGAGGGAAGACAGGAATGGTAATGAAAACCAGGGAAGCTGTTTTGCTGCTGATGAATAGTTTGCATTTGCAAAAAATAACTGTCATGAGGATTAAAAGACAAAATAGAAGAGACAAGAGTGAAGAAGGCTTGGACTGGATATAAGTACAAAGCATTTGTATTTATGAGAAATGGCCAGAAATGAGAGAGGAGGGAGCTAGACCATAAGCTCCATGAAGGCACAGATTTTTGTCCATTTTAAAGTTGTTTTCCAAGTGCACAGAACAGAGCCTGGTACATAGTAGGTGCTCAGTGAACATTAGCTGAAGAAATGAATGGGGAGTCCAGGTGGTAACTGTGGAGTGCAGGGCACCAGTTCACTACGAGGGCAGGGAGGCTTCTGGGAGGAATCAGGGAGGGCCTGGGGCCAGGAAGCCGCTGGGAGAGGGCCCACAGGAGTGGGGGTGCTGCCCTGGAGCCCCATGGACCTCTGGGGGTTGAGCGATGTACCCCATGAGCCTGTAGGTTTCACTTACCCAGGTCTCACTGACCTGGGTTATGAATCTGGTGTCAGCAGAGGGGTTTTCCTGCCAGGGCCATCTCCCTTGACTCCCAAGCTACATCTTCTTCCTTCCATCCCTCGACAGGACCTGTGACGTGACTGTGCCCTCTGCACAGTGCCCCTCCTATGCTCTTGATCCCTCACGAACCTGGGGTGCCTCCCAGGCCCCATCCTCTGCTCTCGTTGCTTTTCTCCACCATTTCCAGAACTTTTGCTTAGAAAGCTCCCAACTAATCTTAGCCAGTGGCCAGGACCACACATCCACCCCAACTTCCTGTTTGTGCCTTATCACCAATGAGCACAATTCTTCGAAACTGCCCCAGCTGTCATCTCCTTAACTGCTAACAGGGCTGGATGACCAGTGTCAGAGGGAAGCTCCGAGCTGTACTTGTTGAAGGACTTTGTGAAATGGCGAAGTGCAAAATAAAGGTAGCTTAGTGCGACAAAAATGTCTCCTTGAGGCTGAAAGGGGCTAAAACAAAACCAAAGAACCTTAGACCTGTGGGGGTGGAGGTGGGGGTGAGGGGGAGGGGAGAACAGGAGGAAGAGAGAAAGTGTGTGGAGATGTTTGGGCAGGGGGAGGGATGTTATCAAGTAATTAATAATTGGTTGGTATTTTAAACAATGGTCCCTGTAAACCATCTGCACCCTCACGAAAAATGTGGTTCACTCCTGAAGTCACAGAACTTTTCATTTCCCCCAACAGACTCAAAACTGTAACTGGCCCGTGGCGTTGTGAGGAAAGCCCTGGAACTGTCAGTCAGAGAAGACACTGATCTCCTCACTTGAGCGGGGCCGTGCGGGTTGAATCCAGGCTCCCCACCTGCTGAGATCTTGCACAAGTCACTTCTCAGGGACTGATTCCTCACCTGTAAAAGTGGGGATGTAATACCCACTCCACAGAGCTGTTGCAAGCCCAGTCGAGTTCATTCACATATCGCCGAGTTCCAGCACGTACACCAGTGCCGAGCAGACGGGTGCCACCAGTTTACCATTATTCACGCCTCTCCCTCTCCCTCCCTCCTGGTTCTCGGACCCTCTTCTGCAGAGGTCTCCCCTGCCCCATTCAGACCAGTTCGCTACCACCTCCTCCCAGAGGCCTGTTCTGCCCACCTCATCTTCGGTAGCCTGCTCTTCCTCCATCACCTGACCTTTCCGTTTTCCCTCCCTCCCAGATGCCAAGACCCCATTTCTCCCCTAGACCCCAAGGCCATCCTCAGTGCTCCCCGGTCTTCCAGCGCTGCCTCACCACATTGCACCCCACACAGCACACGCCAGGCTGGCCTGTCCATCTCACGTTTTATTGTAAAAATGTTAAAATAAATTACATTTGACATCATTACCAGTGTGTACATAGTGTGTGTGTGATTCCAGAACAGCCAGTGATACCCCAGCAAGGTGGGGTGAGGCAACTAAGATGAGCATTTAAAACATTTCACAGAATAGAATGCCGCTGCTTTTCCCCCCACTGTCCAGCCGGCACATCCCTGGTTACAGGATGAGCGGGGGTTTGGACACATGTGCCTATCACAGTCTTCATGTGTGTGGGGGGTGGGTTCTGGCTTTGCTTGGCCCCCAGTATTGGGGAGGGGACTAAGAGGCAGAGAGGGAGCTGGGATCAAGGGTGGTCACCCACCTCCTGCCCAGTATCCACTGCCTGTGACGGGTGCCCTCCCAATTTGCTCACCCGCCAGTCCATGTAGGGACTCTTTCATGACCTTGGCCGAGGTCACTGAGAAAGGCCCAATTGAGTTGGGAGGTAAGAGTCTAAATAGGGAACGTCCCAAAGATTCAGACTCTGCTCTTTTCCCTTCTCTCCCCCCCTTTGGCTCTAAAGCTGACAACAGATGCCAGGTGTATAAAAACAACAGTTTATTTAAAAAATAATAAAACGCGCATGGCAGAGGGGACAGGCCCCAGAGTGTGCATCGCGGAGAGCCTAAGAACTCTGCAGCCCCTCACTGGAAAGTCTGTATACAGTTTCACATTATCTTCTGCTCCCCCCATCACAAATCCTTTATTACACACACACAGAGGAGGCTAGGGGGAGGAGCCTGATTCACATATTTGGCCATTTCCACCTGTGAGCCCAGAGCAACCTGGGGAGTGAGAGGTGAGGTCCTTGTTCTGGGCACAGGGAAACAGGAAGGTGGGGGCAGAACTGAGCTGGCTCCTACAGCTCCCTGGTGACCAGCCCCAGGCATCGCAGCCTTGGTAACCATGGCCTTCCCCTTCTCTTCCTCCCAACACTTCCTGGGAGGCCAAAGGGTGCCAGAGACAGGAGACTGGTCTCCAGGCTGGGCTGGGTCTCAGTAAATGAACAAGGTCTAGGACCCCAGGGACACACTGGTCTTAGGCCCTGCTGGTATCAGGAGTGTTGCAGTACCTGCCCTTTATCTCCTCACTCCCTTCCCCCAGGTAGTCTCTTCCCTGGAAGGTTTGAAGTAGGGGCCAGTCAGGTAGACAGAGGGACTGGGAGGTGGTTAAATCCTTGCCCTGGGCAGGGTCCTGCTCCAGCAGAGACCTGAGTGTCTGGCCCCACCATACCATAGTTATCCCTCCAGCAATGATTAGCTCAGTGCTGAGCCCAAACACAGAAGCAGCTCATTAATACTGGTAAACTCAAATGGCCGAGGCCTCAACTTAAGAGAACCGTGTGACATTCTCAACCGTACGATGGGGCAAAGGTCAGTCCTGCCAGCCCACACATGTCTTTGAACCATCCAATAAACCAGCTACGCTCAGGACAGATGCCTCCCACTGCCAGGGTGCCCGCTCAGCTGGAGAACAGAGGCCCTGTCCTGGGCACACACACCTTGCTTAGCTGTAGGGGATGAAAGGTGAGACAGGCCCCTGGCTCCCCACTCCCAGTTCCAGGGGCTCCCAGGCATGGCAGGATGCCCCAGGATAAAGGTAACGGAAGCAATCAGAGGTGGAGTGGGGAGCCGGCCCTACCTCACGTGCCCCTGGGGCAGTTTGCCTTATTATACTCGTTCATTAGCTGTTCGTAAGGCACAGAGAGTTCTGACTCGGTGCTGGTGAAGGTGGACTCGTCTGATGAGGGAAACTCGCCCAAATTCAGGGGCACCTCGGCCTCAGCCTCTTCCTGGGGCCCCTCCTCTCTAACCAGGTTGTCCTCCAACGAGGACTTGGATGTCTCCTCGTCCAAGAGGCCCGTCTCCTCGTTCACGTAGCTGATGTTGGCGTTCTGGAAGATGAGTGGGTGGTAGTCCTGGGCGTCCCACGGCTCGCCCTCCTCGCTGATGCGGTCCAGCTGGTTAATGAACACCTCAGAGGCTGGGGGACCACCCTCGGGGGGCTCTGCCCCCGCCTCCTCACTGGGGGGCCGTGACACATGGCCTTTGCTCCTTAGAGTCTGAGACACTTCTTCCAAGCTGGGCACCCGGTTCTTAGAGTAGAACACCAGGGGGGCCAGGGAGGCGGGGACATCTGTCAGCCCGCCCCCATGAGGCCCTGGCCCGGGTCCTGGTCCTGGTCCTGGTCCGTGTCCCGGTCCCAGTACCGGTCCAGGTCCCATCCCCAGGACCTTCTCCCCACCCCCGCTCGTCTTCATTGCCTTCTTCCCAATCTGCTTGATGAGGTCATTGTAGGTCTCTTCCTTTTTAGACAGAAAGCTGAAGATGTTGACGTCCTTGGACGCTGTGCTCCCCGCCATCTGCAGGGCCTTTTTGGAGTGCGGGGAGCTCTCGAAGGACTCCTTTCGCCGCCGCCGCCGCTTCTTAATGGCTTTGTGGACCTCCACAAACATGCTCACCTTCCAGTTGACAAAGAGGGACAGCCAGGCCAGCCCCAGGTAGATCCAGAGCTCCACAAAGTAGCGATACAGGGCGTGGTAGTTGGCACTGGGGTTCACACCTGAGGACAGCACAGGAAGGCCAGAGGGTCAGGGGAGGGGTCAGTGGGATCCAGAAACACCCAAAGGCCAAAGCTGTTATCCGAGAGCGGGCGCGGCACCAGGACACAGAAGGGGACACACTGAGAAAGGAAGGAGGCCTGCTCTAGAAGCTGGGCCGTCCCATCACTCTGCGGGGCCTGTCCCAGTCAGAATGATTCGCTGGGCCAAGCGAGGTTCACGGAACAGTCCATGAATGTCTGCCTTTCAGTTAGTCACCTTCCCCCACACCTAGCTGTTCCTGTACTTTTTTTTTCAGTGTATTATGTTATGGTTCAGTGAAAACCACGGTGGAAGTTACCTGAGAGGCCTCTGATACTCAGACTCACTGGTTTGATAGAAATGAGGCTGGTGGTTGGCTCGAGAGGACTGTGGGCACTGGTCCCAGGAGGAAATATTCTGGACAGCCTTGAGTCTCCTTCAGTAAGGTCTGGCCTGCCTCCTGATTTCCTGTTTCTGACATCCTTCAATTGGTTCCTCCTACGGCCAGGCTTCTGACACCTGCTCCAGGGAGCCCTCCGGGGTCATCCCGCCTAGTCCTGGTTGCTTTCCTACACTCCAGGATTATCTGAGATTTGTACAACTTTCCTCTTCCCGCACACTGATCTGCATCATTATGAATCCTGTGCTTCCCCACGCCCCCTTGAAAGACTAAAAACAACCTGGAAAAGGGACGGGAGAACAGGGGCTTCCTTTGGAGTGGGGCTCCCTTGGGTGGGGGGGCTTGTTTGTTTTGTTTTTAAAGCAGTTTTACAGAGAAGAACACTGGGGCAGAGGTTTAGCATCTTGCTGGAGCCGAGAAAGTACACTTAAATACCCTGCTGTGCTTCTCCAGTACAAAAGTTTCTCCTTCACCTGCTCTGGGCCCCAAAGGCTACACAACGACAGGGTTGTGCCTCTATCTAAATTTACCTCTCAAAACAGCAGGCCCAGATCTGCCAGGTCAGTGGAGTGTCCAGGCCTCTTTCCTATTCCTCCTCCAGTTAGCCACCCCCTCCCAGCATTCCAAGTCTCCATTTACAATGGGGCAGAAGGGGAGTGACCTGCCCCTGCCCCCTGAGAAAGGGAGGGGGAGACCAGCGGCCCCTGGAGCAGAGGCTGAGGTCAACTGAGCAAGGCGGCAGGCACTAGGGGAACAAAGACTGAGGCACCGAGGCCAAACAGGGTGTCAAGAAGATGAAGAGCCAGGATGCTATGCAGGCCACAGGCACAAGTACTACAGTGGCCAAGTGCCCGGGCAGACAAAGGGTCCAAAGAATCCTATCTCCTGCCTGGATTAAAAAGGGGGTGGGGTAGGAGGGAGTGTCTGGGCCCACGCAGCTTGGAAGAAGGCCTCTCTGTGTTTAAGCCGCCTGTGGCAAGAGCAGTTTCAGGCCTCTGAGCCAAGCCCCTGTGACAGCTCCCTCGGCTCGATGGAAGGAAGGCAGCTGTGAGGGGGAGGGGCCCTGGCTCGGCTCAGAGGCTCTCTGAACGACAGGCACAAATCCTGCAGGTGGAAGGCCCTACATCCTAGCTGGTGCACCTGAGTTCAGGCGGTGGGCACGCGTGTGTCTCTCCCGGTCCTCAGCCCGCTGGGGAGAGCATGGAGACGAACATGAAGATGAGAGGGAAGGAGGAGAAGAAAGCCGCATCCTGAGAGAGGGAAACAGGCGTCTTCCGCAATTTCTCTGTGCCTTGGTTTCTCCTTCCACTGGCAGGGGGGGTAAGGACCCCACTGGGTAGAGGAAGTGCCCAGGAAACAAATGCCTACTAGGGGTCCCCATGAAGGTCAGCTGAATTGAGGTTGGGGGAGCAAAGAAAGTGGGGAGGCAGAGGCAAGAGGGCAGGGCATGACTTACCGGCCACGAAGTCCCCGAAGCCGATGGTGGAGATGGTGATGAAGGAGTAGTAGAGGCCCTCGATATAGTCCCACTCCTCGGTCACCATGAACACGAAGGGCGGGATCACCAGGTGGACCAGGACGCCCCACACGATGAAGATGGCCGTGCACGTGATTTGCGCCTTCCGCTGATGGGGTGGTGGGGAGTCCAAGTCAGACAGCAGTGGAGACTAGGGGATCCCGACAGGGACGCCCACAGGGCTGGAAAAGCGGCCAGAGGGGAGGCCAGTAGGGTACCACACCTCGGAGGAGGCTTACCACCCAGGAAAGGAGGGAGGGCCAATGTTCCCAGCCCGACCCAGGAGGGCAGGGGCTCTGAAACTGCTCTCTGGCCATCTAATACCTCTGTCCAAGTCTTGGATCCTTCCCATCCTCCATCTCCTGCCAGAAGCACCCCCATCTTTACCCAGCACCCAGGGTTAGGGACATACCAGGCTCACGCCTCTCTTGGTGAGGAACTGGCCCAGCCGCTTTGCTCGTCCCCCGAAGAACTTGCCCAGGGCACTGATCCATGTCAGGCAGAGTGGCACCCCAAAGAGACCATAGAAGACACAGAAGAGACGACCGGCAGGAGTCTTGGGGGCCACGTTGCCGTAGCCTGAGGAAGAAGAGAAGTGAAGCTAAGAACAGAGCCGCAGTGGGGGTAATGGACCCAGATTCAAAGTGACCCCTGCCTCTACCCATCCCACTCGCCCCCCGGCAAACACACACCTGGAGGGAGGCCCATTCTCTTAAGATCACTTCCTATTGATCTAATGCCAAAGTTAGGAAATGACACTATGATCATGATCATTTATAACAGTTACAATGGGATGGGGCTGTCTCTGCCATCAGATTGGGATCTTGCTGAAGGCAGACCAAGCCTCCACTGTCAGCAAGTCTTCTTCTAGTCTGTATGACATCCATATGCAAACCAAAAAAAGATGCGTCTCTGGGGAGACACCCCAGAACCACTGTGGCAGAAGGTCTCCAAACGTGGACATTCTTCATCCCTGCCCTTCTTATGCAACCCCGCTGCTGCTGAAGTCAAGCTGGTGGCTAATTCCCCTCCCTTTGAATCTGGGCTTTAGTGACTTGCTTGACCAGTAACAATGGGTAGGCCCGGTCTAAAAAGACTGCTGCTTCTCCCCGTGATCTCTTGAAATGCTTGCTTTTGAGATTTTCCCTCCTGCAACCCAGCTGCCACATTATGAGATGACTACACCATTGTCTTTTCACCCCCAGGTGAGCGCCCAGCCAATGGGCAGACTCAACTACCAAACACGTGATGGAAGAAGACATCACGCGTGTCTGCCAGTGACGCAGCTCTGGCACCGGCCACCATGACCGCTACAGCCTGAGAGGCCTCCAGTAAGAACCGGCCAGTTGAAACCAGTCAACCCATGGGATGGCAAAAGATAAGAAGTTATGTTTTTTGTCACTAACTTCTGAAGTGGCTGCTTATGCAGCCACCCGTAGATAACCAGAACAGACACCCAGCTTGGCGAGCAAGCTCGGGCTGAGTTTGTACAGTGCGCAACCCGTGCAACCTCCCGCATGGCTCTCTCAGGCCGTGTCCTTTCAAGAGCAGGTCAGGACTCCTGAACACAGACTCCCAGGCATGACCAGTCCCCAAGGGGGACTTTACTAAATCACCAGGAAAAGTGTCAAAAGAACAGGCTGCAAATGACTCAATTTTACCTCAACGTGGCCATGGGACCAGAACTGTACTCCTATAATGTTCTGTGGAGCTAACACACGGGAGCGGGTATCCTGAAGGTCCCTGCAGACTTACCGATGGTAGTGATGACGGTGGCTGCAAAAATCATTGCATTGGGCCAGTTCCAGTTGTTGAAGGTCTGGTTCCCTGTGATGGCCACGCCCTGATCTGCAGCATCAGATACCACCTAAACAGAGAGACAGTGAAGATCAAAGGAGGCCAGGCTAGCAGATGATTTTGAAGTGAAAACACTCTATTTGACTCCTTGTAAGAATTCTCGTGTAATCATCACAATAACAAGTGGTATTATTGCCTCCATTTTATAGATGACAATACATTTTATAATGGATCAGAAAGGTTAAGTGATTTTGTCAAGGTCACACAGCTGTTAAGTAGGGTTGCTCCTTGACTTAAAAGGGGGTTACATCCTGATAAGCCCATCGTAAGTTCGTAAATTGAAAATGCATTTAATGCACCTAACCTACCAAGCATCACAGCTTAGCCTAGCCTACCTTAAACAAGTGCATAACATGGTATTCAAAAACCACTGGCAGCAAAAACACAGTGCGCTATAGAGAACTGGCTGGACCTCGTGATCACAGGGCTGACTAGGGGCTGTGGCTCGCAGCTGCTGCCCAGCATCTCAAGGGAGTATCCTACCACATATCACTAGCCAAGAAGAGCTCAAAATTCAAAACATAAAGTATATTTCTACAGAATGCGTATCACTTTCACACCATTATAAGTCAGAAAATGGTAAGTCAAGCTCTAGGCAATCTGGCTCCTCACCAACATGCCCCAGAATCACCTGGAGAGCTTGTTAAATGAACAGCTGGGCCCCACCAGAGTCTCTGAGTCAGTAGGTCTGGGAAGGGGTCCAAGAATGTGCATTTCTAATAAGTTCCCAGGTGATGCTGAAGCTACTGATCCAGGGACCACACTCTGAGAACCACTCCGAGAACTGTTCTGCCTCTTGAAGAGGGCGGATGTGAGGCAGGCGCACAGGAGGACCCTTACGCCTCCCCCAGCTCTCCGTAGAGAAGTGTCTACTGTAAGGCTGGCCTGGGAGGGACCCCCATGCACGCTTCGCCCCCGCTGTCAGGACGCCTGTGAAGGTCAAGCTCAGTGTCCTCTTGGATCTGTCCTCTAAGACCTCCTTTTCCCTGTGCCTGGGACTGTCGTCCCCCTTACGGGCTCCCCCTTCCTTCTCTGGAGTCCTTCATCTCAGTCACGGGCCCAGCAACTTTGACGTGTGGGACGGGACAGATCACAGGTGTATGCTTTTCAGAGTGACTCAGAACTGCACTGGCAGGCCCCACGGAGCCTCCAGCACCTGTGTGCTGCGGACGAAAGGCCAGCGGGGGAGTCCGGGACAGGCCCCAGGGGAGGCCTTATCTGTCCCAGGAGCACTGAGAGCTGCCGAACCTGCTTCCGCTTGACCAGACCCTGCCTCTACCAGGGGCGTCCAACCTTTTGGCGTCACTGGAAGAAGAGTTGTCTTGGGCCACGTATTAAATACATTGTGACACGTAATCACGACGACATCTCATAATGTTTTAAGTAAGTTTACGACTTGTGTTGGGCCCCATTCACAGCCATCCTGGGCTGCAGGTTGGACACCCCTGCAGCTCATCCTTCAGTTCTGCTCCCACTCACCCCACCCAACCTATCAATGGCAGGGCCTGGACCCCAAAAGGCAGCTCACAAGGGCCAGGATCTGCTCCAGGTCTGGGGCTCCAGGTCTGCCCCCAAGGAGGGCCATGGATGTCCCTCCCATCCAGTCCAGATACCAGGAACTCAGGCATATTCCCAGTAAAAAAAAAAAAAATCAAGCCTAGGGCTGGGGGAAGACAGTGAAAGACGGAAGCAGGAAAAAGATGGGAAAACCACAGTTTTAACCCGCCTGCAGCACGACTGACTGAAGTTCGGTGGGAAAGGTTGCTCTGAAGGAACGTGCAGTCAGCAGCAGCCGCAGCAGGCCTGTGTAAAGGGACCTGCAGACATTAAAGAATTCTCCACCGCGCTGTGCCTGTCTGACAGGCCCTCACACCATACCGCTGGCTGCCTTGCCTCCTTGCGGCATTACCAGAGCATCTCTCTGCAGGCCCTGAGGGGCTGCCTTAAGCCCTGCCCACAGAGAGCTGGCTGTCTGGCTGGCCAGGCCATGTCCATGTGAAGGTGCCAGAACATGTTGATACTAGTAGGCCAACAGGAGAGCTAAAACAAATATGAAGGTATATCCAAGAGGTTTCCTAAAAAATGACATCTGTGCTTGAAGCAGGAGAATGAGGCTGTGTCCTAATGTCGAACAGATGGCAGGGCAAACAGAACCACTCAGACGTCCGTCTGAGAGCGGAGACTAGAGCAGAGTTCACTGTCAGTGGCGAAAAGAACACACAAGGACACCGTTGAGTGGGAACTGTGCCACTGACCGGGGGAAGATCTGCCTCTGATCCCCTCCATAGAATCCCAGGGAACAGAAGAGATTTCGGGAGACCAGCTACCCTATTCTCATCCAGACAAAAGGGGTGGACTCTGGAAATGCCAACCTGAACTCCTGCAGACTTCTCAACAGCAGGACGTCTGGCACACGCAGAGAGGAAGTGGTGGGCCCTGAACGCCCGCACAGGGCCTCCAAGAACAAGTCCTGCTCAGTGACGTGCACCTCCCTCTCCAAAGGGGCTGCAAAGCCTTGCAGTTGGGTGGAAATCTAAATGCAGTAGATCTAGATCCAGTGAGGCAGCCGAACACATGGGTTTAAAGACATTCATGTGGACGAGACGGAGACATGAGGGTAGAGCTGGGATTAATTTGGGTCCATTCAAAAGAAGATAAAGAATTAGAAGTATTGATCACTATCAACCCGGCCTGAGGTCTCTACTATTATGCAAAAAGCATGGCTTCATCAATATTTTCATCAACAATAAAGTGAGGACAGAGATGGACGACTAGTCTAATCTGCAAAGGATGCAAAACTGGGCACCAGGCTGGGCTGGGAAGGCAGCCCGCACACAGCAACAATGGTTTGGGGACCAGAAACATCTGTCCCGGAAAACCGGGCCTAATCTAAGAAGATACGACCACCTTCCACATGGGGGCACTCTGTTCCGTCCTGGGTGACTTCACAGGATCCGTTAACTAACAAGTCAACCAACAGGCCTGGGCCCAAGAGGGAGCAGGGGCGGCATGTTCAGCTGTCTCAGAATGGACTGTCCTCGGCGGCTGTCTGTTTCTGATCAAGAAAGTTGTTTAGACCAAGCGTGAGTACTGTACATCAGGGGTGCTGAAGGCGTGGCTGGAACAGGGGTTCTCACCGGAGGGTGGCGGCATATTCTGGAAGTGTGTAGAAATGCTGTCTGGTGGGGGGGGGGGGGCAGGGGCTTGGGGAGGATTGTGTCAGAGCAGTGAAGAGACGAAACCCATTCTGGTGACGGTGGGGGTGCTGCTGGCATTGAGTGGGCAGGGCCCAGAGGCTGAATGCGGTGCGATCACAGGACAGCCCCCACCATGCCGGCCGACACTGCTCCCACGGAGAACCACTGGCTGGCCAAAGGTGTTAAATGGAGAAAGATTTGTATGATCTGAAGAGAAACCAGAGTTGCCCAAGGTGTTATGTGACTTGAGAATCATTTACGAAATGCTAAAGAGCCGTGAAAAACAAGAGCTGGCAAAACAAGTTACCAAAGAGGGCATGATTTTGAGTCAGAAAAGCAGAGCTTCCTGCCCTTCACCCCATGACAGGGCACCCTCTGGGGCACAGCCCGCAGCCTCAGCCTCTGGCCCTGAGTTGTCAGGGAGCTGCAGCCACATGACCTCTACTGTGGCTCAAGGTCACCCAGAGAGGGACAGGCCAAGGGGGCATTCTCAGGGCTAGAGGAACCACTATCCCTGGCAGTACTTATGCCTACTTGTTAGGTGGGGAAATTGAGGCTGAGAGGGTAAGTGGCAGAACCGGGGGAGGTTCTACACAGCCTGGCTGCCAGTCAGCACGGTTCCACCTCCCTCCTTTCACTGCTGCCTGCCCCGGGCGGCCCAGCGCCCCCTGTGGTGGCCTCCTCTCTGCCCATGAATCCAAGCATTAGCCTGGGAACCAGCTGGTCTCCATCTCAATGCTGGGGAGAGAAGCAGGACTCGAGTGCTGCTGCACGTTAGACACTGCTCGCTGGGGCTTGCAGATTTCTAGCCCAACCGGCTCTTCCTGCGATTCTGCCAGGCATCACTTGATGGCTGAGGAAAGCTCATCTCGGGAGCAAAGTTCCCAATGTGAACTTGGGGTATCTGTTCCCTGTTTCCACCCCATGTAGCTGTAGTTCTGGTCAGGATGCCATACTGGTAATGGTCAGGGTCACATGCAGGGGAGGAGGAGGTCTCCTAGAACGGAGGGGCTGACCAGCTTGAGGTCATCCCTGGGGTAGGGGGCGTGGTGCAGGGAAGCCAGGCCAACATCCAGTTAGACCCGGTGTCCTGTCCCCAGGGTTAGGGAAACAGCTTTCACAGGAGGAGGCGGCCCTGCTCACTCACGGGATTCTTTAACTTGGCTCCCTGATTCACACAAGACAATATTTTCACTTTCCCTATAACCCTGGCCAGTGACGAGAGGGAGACCCTGCACTTTGGCCAGGCCCAGCTCTTGTGTGGGGGCGGTACAGAGCTCCCTGCTGCCGCTGTCAAAATAAAGCAGCTGTGATTTATTGAGGGCTTACTATGCAACAAGTGTTATGCTGAGCACTTCACAAGCCTTTAGCTTATTTAATGAGGACAGAATCTTGCTGGGAAAAACTATAATTTTTTCCACTTTACAAATGAGGACTTAAGGCTTGGTTAGAGGTTAAGTAGCCTAAGGTCAGGACGCTAAAGGCAATGAAGCCAGGAGAGCCCTGCCCGTCTGGGTCCAAGCTAGTCCAAGCCACTGTTGCCCTACCCACTTTCCACAACGGCCACAGGAAGGAGGCCGAAGCACACCTCCACCCCTTCACACCAGCTGAAAAAACAGTGCCCTCAAACCAGTCTGTCCACTCTGACGGAGCTCGGCGTTCCCCGGCCAGCCCTCCAGGAGGCCAGATTCATTCCTTTGCCTCTGGCTTCAGGCAACTAGCTGCCCTCATCCCTCATTGTCTGTGAAATCTGGGTTCCCGGACAGCTCCTTATCCTTGGGGGGCCAGGGTTTCCTGTGCAGAGGCAGCTGCC